CCTTATGGTGGCCCTTGTGCAGGGCAGGCAACAGCTTTACCATATCCTCTGCCTCAAAAGATATAATGCTTAAATGAATCAAATAACACAGCTTCAAAACATATGAAAAGCAAAATTTAATGGAATTATAGGAGAAACTGACAATTACATGGGCACAGTGCAGGTTTTCAATATATTTCTTTGAGACTGGTAGGGGCGGGCAATGAGACAAGGTCTCACTATACAGTATAGGCTAATCTTGAATTTGTAGCAATCCCTCCTGCCTCGGCCTCCCGAGTGCTCGAGATTACAGGTGTACACCACTATGCCCAGCTCATTTCTTGAAGAATTGATAGATCACAAGTAAAAATAGCGAAGACTCAAATACCACAGTGAATTAGTCTGAGATAGAATCATCAATTCAACAAGTAGACAAAATAGATGAGTTATAGAAATTTAACCAAAGTTTAGGCATGCCTTAACAAATAACAAAATACTTGATTTTTGCCTTTAAGATATAAGTGGAAATGTTAAAAATGCAGTTAGTACAGGCATGTTCTGACCATGACACAATTAAGAAACACTTGTCTTAGCAAAGAAGGCAGACAATGTCAGCCTACAACTTAGAAAATGTAGAACAAGGACAAAACAGTAAGCAAAAAGAGAAGAAATAAATACATAAAGGGCCCCAAAACATTCAGAAAACAAAGATACACTATAAAAAGGTCAATAAAGCCCAAAGCTTATTCTTTGAAAAGATAAAACTTCTGGAATGGCAGATTAAGGAGAGAGAGAGGGACAGGAGGAAGTAGGGGGTGGGGGAGGAAGGGAAAGACGGGGAGGGAAGGAGAGAACTGCAGTACCAATAAAGTCAGCTTTAAAGACTGGGACAGGGGTGAAAAAAGAATTAAGACCAGTCAGGTACATGTACCAAATGTCCACGATGAAAAGTCATGCATCACAAACATGCACTAATAAAATAAGAATGTTAAAAATAGAGTGCTGTGCATTACTTAAATCTGAACATGTATACAATCCTGAAAACAAAATTTACCAAGGCTGGCTCAGGAAGAAACAGAAAACTGATCATGTGGTGACTTGCAAAACATGGGGATAATAAGGATGACTTTAAATTAAATCTCTTAAGAAGTTCAGCCTATGGACATAAAGAGGAAAATTAGAAAAACCACATAAAAACTATCCAGTTGTCATGGTGGGATTGGGGGGGGTGGTAAGAGGTGGTTTAATTTTTGAGTATGTTGAAACACTGACACCTTTAGATATGTAAGTGGAACCCGGGCATGGTGGCTCATGCCTATAATCCCAGCACTTAGGAGGCTGATGCAAGTTCGAGGCCAGCCTGAACTGCACAGTGAAACCCTGTCTCAAAAAGACAAAGATAGATAAGTGGAGATTTTAAGTAGGGACAGGTGCTTAGAAGAGATATGGCTTAAACATAGTATTTGGGAGTTGTCTGCAGGTAAATGAAAAATCCATAGATATGGCTTAAAATAATATAACAAGTTAACACATTGCTTCTCAAAGTGTGGTCCCTAGAATATCAGTATTACCCAGGAACTTGACAGATGCAAATTTCCAGGCCCCTACTGAACTAAAAATTCTGAAAATGGGGGCCCCTCCATCTGTGTTAACAAGCCCACCAGTGATTTTAACACAGGATCCAATTTGAGAGCCACTGACAGTAAGAAGTCAAGAGGACTTGGGGCCTTTCCTGGAGAATTTCAACATTTAACAGAGAAAGAGCCTGCAAGAATGGCTAAGAGGAACAGCAAGATATGGATAAGAAAATGAGAAGTCCTTCAAAAGAACTGATGTAAGAATTTTAGGGCTGAGTACTACGGAGATTTGAAGGTGATAGCTCCAGGAAAGATTACAATGAACTAAGAAGTGAGACGCTGAGAAAAAAAGAGTCTGAGAGGCCAGACTGTTCTGAGAAGCTTAATTGTAAGACAGCAAGAGGATAAACACAGAAGTAGTTGTCTAGTAAGGGGAAGTATTTTTTTAGGTTTTTGTTTTTAACAGGACAGTAACCGGAATGACAAACCACAGAGGGAGGAATCTGGCTGCAAGGGAGTGTGGCATTGCGCCTCAACAGTGGGGTGTTTCACAGAGGCGATGATCAGAGCTGTGCAAAACGCTAACAGACCAACTTCTGGTCAGTATTATTACTGCACTGTAAATTCTCCATAGACCTGTGCCTCACACTGTCTGCAACCAGCCTGGATGGCTCCCAATGCCCTGTCCTTGGTGCTACTGGATCACACAAGGTTGCTGAAAATGGAGGTCTTGGGGTGCAAAGCACAAGTGGAAAGACTGCCCTTGACTGCATGAGCAGATAACCTTCTAACTGGAAGGAAGGAAGTAAACATGGATGGGCACAGATGTGGGAAGTTTGAAGTCTGCTGGCCGGAAGCTGGAGGAGCTGGCATCAAAAGGGTTCCATATAGGGTCATCTGCAAGGTCATCCTACTGAGATACAGATCAGATGTGTTGCGTTCTCTTGACCTACTTCATACTCACTGAGCAACTGTATATTTATGATTTGGCTCCTATGTAGGTTTGTCCAGAAAGCAAGAATGTCCTGACAACACAAATTTCCTCCCTCCCCGCTTATTTATTTTTTGGCAGCCCTGAGGATTGAACACAGGACCTCACACATGTTACCACAAGTGTTCTACTACATTTCCAGTCTTTTAAAAAAGAAAAAAAGAATTTTGGGGGGGACAGGGTCTATATTGCCTCAGCTAGCTTCAAACTTGTGATTCTGCTTTTGAGTAGCTGAGAATATAGAAATGAGTCAGTGTGGCAAGCAAAAAACAACAAACAAATATTTCTCAGAGTGAATTCATAATTTTTAAAAATTTGTTTTGTTGATTGTTAGTTTTTTTGGGGGGAGTGGTAAATTTCTAAATTTAAATCTAGATTTTTAAAACATGATTTGGTTTACCCATAGCCTGAGTAGGCTACAGACAGATTATGGTCCTTTTTGTAATCACATTTCCTATTGAGTTGTTCACTAGGATCTGTTTCACTTTGTACAAAGTGACAGAAGAAAATCTCCGGACTTTAAGAAACATGGGACAGATTTTACGTTAAGTAGCAATCAAAATAATATCCTTTATCCTCTCCAACTCCTTGCTTAGTAAATGGTGACTTTTTATTAGCTGTCACTGGCCCAAGTGCTGCTTCTTCCATCTCAATTCATCTCTACATCCATCTTTTCATTAATATATTTCAAACTATGGGCTGGAGATTTAGTTCAATAACATAAATGCCTGCCTGGCAAGCATGAGGTTGTGAGTTCAATCCCTAGTAACCCTCCCACCAAAAAATGTGTGTGTGTGTACACAAATGTATTTTAAACTACCTGTCTCTATACTGATCTATTAGTTTTTAAAGAGAGGCACAGTCAGCACTCCAGATTCCACATCCATGGATTCAATCCACCTGAGATAGAAAATGGGGTGGGGGGCCCCGCAGGGCGCTATGTCTATACCCAAAATATACAAAATTTTTCCATTTCACTATTTTCTAAACAATATGGTACTACAATTATAACTACACAGCATTTGCATTGCATTAGATATTGTAAATAATTTGGAGATGAGTATTCAGAAGGATGTGTATAGATCGCATGTAAATACTATACCATTTATATAAGCAACTTATGGAACACCTTTAAATTTTGGTATCTGCAGGAAATCTGGGTACAAACCTTCTGCAGTTACTGACGGACAACTATATTTCCAAGAACCACGCAGGAAATAAAACAAGTGGAATTATTAGTATGCTATCATTTAATTGTTTAGTCCATTATTCACTCAACACATATTTACAGATCATAAATCTTGTGGAACGCCTAACTTGACAACCAAGAGATATACAAAGTCCTCAACAGAGCAATTAACTCCACAAAGGACTGACAGAATTAATCGAAGAATACACTGATTTCAGGGGACAATCGTAAGAAAAAAAATGTCTTACAGAAATGGCAGAGATTGGCTGTCAAGGGAAATCCTGGAATCAGAGTAACTTAAAGACCACAGCATTAAAAATATAATGACTTAGAGACGGCAGCACAGGCCTGTACACAGCTACTTCAGATGCTCAGGCAGGAGGATCTTGGTTCAAATTCAGCTTGAGCAACTCTGAGTGGCCCTGTCTCAAAATAACAAAAATAAAAAGGATAAAAAGAGTAACTCTGTGTGATAGCACTCAAATAGCATGTAAGGCATACTGTGTTCAATTCCCATCGTGGAGAAAAAAGAAAACGAAGACTTAAAGATAGCCTTGCTTAGAGGCCACAGCAAGGCAAATTCTCTGGAATTAAATACAAAAGTAAACTGGATAGGGAGGTACATTCCTATAATCTTAGCACTCAAAAAGGCTGAGAGAGGAGGATTCAGGGGAGTTCGAAGCCCAGCGGGGCTACATAACAAGATCCTGTATTTTAAATAAATAAATAAATTTTAAAAACAATACCTCCACAAAAGTGATTTTGGACTTTCATATATTTAGAAAACTTGGCAGACTCTTTTCAGAAGCAATAAGGCAGGTTGTGAATTAATCCTTGAGTTTATGTGGGGTCCTGGGATGAATCCTCCAGTCCTCCAACCCTCAAGGCACCCTGCAATACCAGTCAGTGCTTCATAAATTGCCTTCCTTGCTCCACTCCATCACAGTTTGTGCTCTGGCATAAGTTAAATGTAGCTTTTCCATGGCCCGAAATTGTTTGTCATTGAGTATCTTGGTTAGTGGTTCATGTGACACTGCTCAAGCTCGGTGTAAATGATCTGATGACCTTGGATATTTAAAAAGTGCTTAGCACACAAAAGATGCTCAATTAAGATTCATTTCCTCTTTTCTTTCCTTCCGTTTTTCTCTCCCATAGTGAGGTGGGGAGGAAAAAGTAGGAACAAACAAAAGATAGATCGCTTAGAAGACAGCATCTCTCTAGTATAAAAATACAGAAAAAAAGGAAACCATTTCTCAGTGCCTACCTTGTGTCTGTGGGCTGTATGGAGACAGGAGTTTGGATCTTTTCTTTTCATATCCCTTCTGTGTGATGTCCCCTAAAATAGCAAGAAAGCAGAAATAGGTTATGCATTATCCTTATTCTTGGTGGTTCACTGTAAAAATAATATTAATTACAGAGCAATACAGAAATACCACACAACTGTGGGGGAAGAATGTATGGTTTTTTGCCAAGATTTTGCTAAGTGACTTCCCATGGGCTTAGAGTTGACTTCTTGTGGGAAACAGTAGGGCTTCTCCCTACATCATCTATCAATCTGCCACATACCATGGTAGAGATTCCCAAGGTCCTAAGCACCACTAAGTCCCTTGGTATGTAAAATATCCCCAAAACAGAATGAGGCTGATAGACAATGATTTTTCCCTAGAAGTTTCGGTTTAACCAAATGACTACAACTGTTTTGTGAAGTCTTAATTCTCTAACACTGCTATAGAGAACCACATAAAATCAGAAGTCTCGTTAAAAGGAACAGTAAAGTAAATGCAGTGGCACACTCCTGTAATTACTAGAATTAGAATTCAGGATGGATAGTCCAGAGGATCACAGGTTTGAGGGTAGCCTCAGCAACATAGCAAATTCAAGGTCAGCCTAGGCTATAGAAGTGATATTAAGGAAATAATATAACTTCAATCTTTTAGATTTCAGTTTGTGTTCCCAAAAATTGAAGAATGAATTTTAAGGAAAAAGGAGATTTAAGAGTAGGGAAAAAATGTATTTAAAAAGATAGCTCCTGAGAGACAGAAGTGAACCCAGAAGTGGGCTGCCATGGACCCCACTTTACAGAGAAAGTTTTATAGAGCAAAATCACAAGATGGGTACAATGTGGGGTCAAAACTATGATCAACCAATCAGATTACAACTATAGCCACTTAGGTAATATTGATCCAATAGGAAAGCAGGTCATGTAGCAAGTACACAGGAAAAGTCAAGGACCTTTTTAAGGAAGGGATGGATCAGAAGGTTCTGGTCATTTACCTGGATAAATAATGTGTATCTACAGACTTTATTGGACCAAGTGATATCAATTACCTTATCCCTCAGGTAGGCAGGTAGGCCTGGTGATTCTGTCTTTATCTTGGAACTTGACCTCAAACAACTCTACCCACAGCTGTAATATGTTCTCATCACCTGCACTGACTCCTTTGAGTCCCCAGCCCTGTTTGACTGCCTAGAATATTTCTATCTAACTTAGCTATCTATGATTGTTAAGACCCTGTCTTAAGAAAAAGAAGTAGTCAAGACTCAGGCACTGGGCAGGGATATTTAAAGGGTGTTCTGTATCTAACATCTGTAATGGAATTCACTTATTCTTATTGAGCCACTGTTTTGTATTTTTTATACATATGGTTGTCTTTTTCTACAGGTTAAATTTAAAAGTATGCATGAAGCACAAAATACATACACAACAAATGAAGCAAGCACAAACATAAACTGATGAGAAAATATGCAGTTCAAGTGGCAAGAAATGTGACAAATACTGAAGAAAGGGAACAGAGAACAGGTAGCAAGCAGAGTTGAAAGAACAGAAAGCAGAGAACCAAAAGCCATTAAAGGGAGGATGAGTGAAGTCAAGGCTGAGGCAAGAGATACGTACTTCCATTGAAGTACCATTGCCACAATAAAGTGCTGTTTTCCAAAGTGATTTTAAAATTCAGAAAGCATGTAAAATGAACTCTTACATAGAACCCAATGCACGAAACAGAAAAATGTCAACAGAACTTAGCATTTAAAAAATTCTTTTTTTTTTTTTTTTTTGTGGTAGTATGGATTAAATCCACGGCCTTCTGCAGGCTCTGATATTGAGCTATACCCTCCAGCCTTTTCTTTTTTGTTCTCTTTTGCGACAAAGTCTTAACATTATATTTGTTTGATACCAAGTCTCACTGTGTAGCTCAGGCTGGCCTCCAACTCACTGACCTTCCTGCCTCAGCCTCCTGAGTACTGGGAAAGATGGGGTCTTATAATGTAATCCAGGTTGACCTCAAACTCATGATCTTCCTGTCTCAGTCTCCTGAAGGATTCACAGCTTTCGTGTTTTTTTTTTACATAGACAATTGATTGGGGGTACACTGATTTGATTGCAGAAATCTGAAGTCCAGGCTTATGCATGGCAGCCTCAGCCCAATCCCAAGTGGGCAGAGGGAGCCAGAGAAGCTCACTGAAGGGTACCGCAGGAGTGCCCATGCAACAGCAAGTTCCATTAACAAGAGTGAGCTACTACAGAAGGAGCCTAGAAACCACAAAGACTACACTTGTCCCAGCACTGTTACAAAGATCTGGGCAGAAGCTACTGGTAGCCTTAAACCCAGCAATGGAAGATGAAAAGCAGCAAATGAAGGAAGAAAGATAATAAAGAGGAACACTGGACAAGGATTTGTGGACTGGCTGGCTGTGGTGGCTTTTAGCTTGAGCAACAAGGCAGGTGGTGTTACTCTTTGACAGAGAAATCTGGCAAGAGATACGTGTCTGGTGGGCTAAGAAGATAAGACACACCTACGACAGGCCTGGGGGGCAAGAGGAGATGTTTCATCAGCAGCCAGTTATCTGAATCTAGAACTCAGTGCCACGTGGACTGCCTGGAGAGAGGAATAGGACACATCACAAAGTGCTCAAAGCCAGAGGAGACTAGTAGCCTTACACTAGACAAAGACAATCAGGGATGCAGGAACCACAGAGAAGCTGAAGTAATTTGGCAATTTCTACTGAAACCTGGACGTAGCAACCATTATTTCTAAAAGTTACTTAGCTTCCATATTTACACATTGTGCACAAAAATCAGTAAGCATACTCATGCCCCAAACCTGAAAGCAAAATAGTCGCCAACATGTGTCTCAAAGGCTTCCACCTCAGAGCTATTTTGTGAGCATGTACATTTGCAAAACACATGCACCCACCCCTCCCTGCCCCGACACCTGGCAATATCTGAGAATACCTTGCACAGGTAAAGGAAGAGGTGCTACTAGTCACCTAGAGAATGGTGACTAGGTAGGGAACATCCTGCAGCAAACAGAACAGACTCCCAGCACAGACTTTTCCAGCCTAAAATGTCAGAAATGCTGCCAGTGAAGAACCCCGACTTACATAATAATATGTAGGTATTCTATACTGGCACAGAAAGATGTTTAAAGTGTATTATGCCCTGGCAAGTGCAAGGTCCTTAGTTCAATTCCCAGTATGCGAAAGAAAGAAAGAAAGAAAGAAAGAAAGAAAGAAAGAAAGAAAGAAAGAGAGAGAGAGAGAGAAGAAGAAAGAGAAGGGGCTGGGGGGGGCATATGCCTATAATCCCATTACTTGGGAAGTTAAGGCAGTAGGATCACCATGAGTTTGAGGCCAGTTTGGGTTACATAATGAGTTTAAGACCAGCTTCAACTGTATAATGAGATCGTATCTCAAAACAAACAAACCAAAAATAAATAAATATGATATATTAAGTATAACAGGTAACAACAGATTGGCATGTATATGGATATAGCTTTATAAAATATAGTAATAGATATGTTTGCATATATACAGAAAGTAATCTGGAATGCTATAAACCAAATGTTTATTCTTAGGGTATAGGATTATGAGGGAGTTTGGCTTTGTTTTATATACTTTGAGTTTGATTTTAACAAAGCCTGATTTATAATCTTAATTTTTTTTCATTAAACATGATGCTCCCCACTAAACAAAAACAAAAGGATAGTCTGTAGGTATATACTTGCTAACACAGTAAGTGACCAAAATATTCAACAGAAAAAATATAGTTTACATAGTATTTTCAAATTTTAGAATATCAGTATATTTAAACACATGTAGCATAATAAGTAAACATGTCTACAAAAAAATGTTGTTTTGTTTTGGTGGTGCTGAGGATCATGCCTACGGCCTTGCACAACCCAGGCAAGTGCTGTACTACTAAGCAGCAACCCCAGGCCTGTGCCAAAATATGAACAGTACAGCTCACAGCTTCTGAATAGGTTTTAGTTCTCCTTTGTCTCCTACATTTTCTAATTTTTCCACAATGAACATTATTATTTAAGGAAACAAGTATTTTAACATTTCAATTATGGCTACTTATTAAACTATACAATTAATCACGATGGTTCGTCATGTCTTTTTCTGTATTAAAAAATTTTTTTAATCTGGAAATCTTTTTTTAATCCAGCTGTCTTCAAATTAACCAACCCAAGAGTTATCTCAATACACAAGAGGAACAGGAATTTAGTACCAAGGAAACTTACAATGGAAACAGAAACTGTTTTTATTGTAAAATGGACTACTTTATTTCCATTCCACACTCACATGCTCCTCTGCCTCTTTCCTTCCTTCCTCTTCTTGGGATGGGCACAAAGGCTCAGGATACATCTGACAAACAGTGGTTAAACAGCTTTCTTCAATGCTTACAGTCTCAATCGTTCACTGTCTGCAAATGATCACATGACAAACTGCTAGATTTGGCAGCTGGGACATCCATCAACTGCTAACCACCTCGGATTGTGAAAGGGGTCAATCAAGAGAGTCTAATTCAGCCATGCCAATTAGCTTTGTTAGATCTGTAACTGAGCAAAGAAACTGAGAAGACCTGAGAAAAGCAGCATGGTGAGAATATAAGGACCACCATGGTAAGCCATACAGAAATCTGAAAGTGCCTCTTCTTTCTTGGACTACCAGATGCTGCTCTCAAGTCCCCTCTGATGAGAGCCTTCCACCATTTGTCAGTTACTCTTCCTAGGGCTCCTGCAACACTATGCACACTTCTAAGGCAGTGCTTAGTACATCACTAGTATTTCAATTATCTGTTTAAACTCTGTCCTCTACTACACTGTGCACTTGAAGGCAAGGACTGTGCCTTGTTCATCTCTAGCCCGCCCACATCCTGGCACAATAGACATTTGCTGAATGAGTGACTAAGGAATTAGTAAAATGGAGGCAGTGAGAGAACAATAAATCAAAAAGACATGCGTACTTGGGTAGAACACTGGAATGGCAGAAAAAGAGCTTTATTTTAGAAGAAGCTGAAAGGCCAAGGAAAGGATTTAGTAAGCCAGAAGTTTA